ATTTTTTTTCTTTTTTTCACAAAATCCTTTTTTGGTAAATCAGTTTTATCAACTTAAAAAAAACCCTTCTCATGGTTACCGTATGAAAACAACCTACGGCTTGTTGTATCCAAGACCACTACCAAGGAAATTCCTGCCTCCAAGGAAAGTAAAAACTGGCATTTCAAAACTGGGGTATCTAGGAGAATGCTGGGGGACCTACTAATGAGCCGGACAGCTTGTAACTGTGTCAAAAAGCGGCAGAATACCGACTTCATTTTCAGCACTCTCTCATGTGTGTTAGTTGTCTGTGTGGGAGAAGCAGTGGCCAGGGGTGAGGCTGAGCACAGTAGCGTAAAACCGGCGTTGAATGCACGCTACATACGCGCTGCCAACTTAATACTCTGGGTGCGGTGCAAAACTAGAGGCTTCAGCAGGCTGCCTTGACACCATTAGTGACAAAATGCAAGAACTAATGCGGCTATCTTGAAGGACCAAGAATTGCAATTCGACCGAAAGACATCTCTGGTGTTAGAAAGTGTAATGGGCCTGGAGGACTCTTAAGAATCCTTAGAAGCATGCTATGGATACGTACATCCTGTTTACGCTGTGAACACTTTTTTTAAAACTTGTGATGAAACAAAGTCGCATCGCTGTTCATTCTGGCGTAGTTCAATATAGTTGAGTAACGGTTATTACGTTCTACGTTTTTGTGATATAGGAATACACCCATTAACTGTATAATTTAATGATGGCGCAGTAAGTCCCCATTAGCAACTTGGTGTAATTATTAGGAGAGGTTTGGCAGATTTGAATAATTCAATTCAATCGTGAAAAATGCGTGGCCTCGGTGGAATTCGAACCGGCATCAGCAGATAGGGCTGAAGTACAGCTAACACTCTACCAATTGAGCTACGAAGGCACGCCGAGAGCGGTGAAACTGATCCCACCGAAGCCATAAATTTTTCACAATTGGATTAATTAAATTATGCAAATGTGCCAAACCCCTCCTAATAGGTTAATGTGCCTGATAGTCATTCTAGTAGATTTTAGACGGTTATCTGGGAAATCCTGTCTGGGCAGTATCCATATTGGTGGATTCCATACGTGCAGTAGGCTGGGCGGATAAATCGACCAAAGTGTGATTAAGTTTCCGGCTCTCGGTGTGCTTTCGTAGCTCAATTGGTAGAGCGTTGGTTCTACTAAAGCCTTCTCTGCTGATGTGCGTTCGAATCCCACTCAGGCCACGATTTTTTTCATAATTGGGTCAACTGAACTGTATGAAAGCTTGCAGTATGCATGTGGATATTAACTTTACAGAAATGGGCGACCAGGAAAGGACCGTGTGATGGACGTAACGCGCTTTTAAAGAGATGTGACAGGCGTTATGCGTCATTAGGGGTCAAATAGGGAAAGCCAAAATGCTGAACGCTTAGTGGGTAATAGTAAAAATGGATCTATAGGGTTGGGAGCCATTTCCTTGCAGTAAAACGAGCACGGCTTGAAAAAAATCCAAAGCTTCGGTAGGCCTTCGTGGCTCAATGGTAGAGCGTTCGCCGTACAAAATTATTCCCTGCTGTGTGGGTTTGTATCCCACCGGGGCCACGAAGTTTTCACAATTGGGTCAACTGATTTTTTTTCATCTGCCAAACCATCCTACTAATTAAGTGAGCCTAGGAGTCATCCTGGTGGATTCTAGATGACTGCTTAGGAAATCATGCTTGGGCAGTCAGCTTGCTGTTTCTTAATGGTGGACTCCATATGGGCGGTAGGCTGGGCGGGTAAATCAACCCGAGTGTGATTAAATCCAAAGCGTCGGCATGCCTTCGTAGCCCAATGGTAGAACGTGGGCTGTACAAAAGACCTCCCTGTGTGGGTTCGAATCCGACAAAAGCCACGACTTTTTCACAATTGGGTCAACTGAATAAGGAATCCCGTTGTAACAAAGTTTGCACAAAGGAAATGCATCTGCTCAAAAAGATTTCGAAGATAAACACGAAATAGCCACCATAGAGGCAAACTAACCCTTGGACAACAGTTGTAAGACAATTTAAACAGGTATCTAGGAAAACGGAGAATAGCTATCACCGTACGTGCCTCCTAACAGGACGGAGGGGGGGGATGGTTGGTGCTTGTCAGAGGGTTCAGAATCACCTGAAAAGGTCTTTTTCCAACACAGTTCCCGACCGAATTTTGAGGACTGACCCAGCTTAAATAATTCATTATGGCTGCAAAGCTGGAGCCAAAAACACGGAATACTTCTGTCTGGACACAATAAAACTCTGTGGTATAGAGTTTCACCCGCCCAAATTTGATTATTTAAGACAAAAGTCTAACAAATGGAATCCCAGCCAACTCCAAAGATGATTAACTTCCAGGAAATTTTTGTAGACAAAAGGTCCGTTAGCACTGGTGTCACCATGTACGGTGCATGTTTTATGTTGGGTCCGCTGGCACTGTTTAGGTGAGAAAAAGCATTCTACAGAGACGGGAACAATAATGGCATGAGGATAGCATGGTATCGAAGGAGCAACTGAAATCGAGGGCATAGGAAGGAAAATGACGTGCTCCTCTGAGGTCTTGAAGATCGTTTTAGAAATCTGCCTGTTTATAATACAAGAGACTTTCCGAACGAAAGGAAAGTCGACATCGAAAATGATGAATAGGGAAGATTTTTAAAGGCTGGAGGGCTAATGACTTTAAAGTATTTTTGTCAGAGTTTAGAATGCAATCGGCTTCAGTTTAAAATTAACTGGTGTGCTGCTGTAGAATTCGTGTGAAGATAACTACAATAAAAGAGGTTCAGAGAGTCCTTTGTTTCGATACTCCAATTAGAAAGCAGCCATCTGAACACACCAAAACAGTTCGCCCATGTGAATCAGTGTCCCAGGAAAGTGAGGAGTGACTTGCACACAATTTGGATTACGTAAAGAGACTGGTGCAGCACTTACCTCACTTTGTGTGAAGCGTCACGTCAATAGGACGTTAATAAGGCAAAGTCAAGGAGGAAGCATTGCAACCTGATTCGCGAAAAATTACCTTAGTCGTCAGTCGCTAATCTCTCCAGACATATTTTACGGTACGTTAACCCCCTTCGGTTTACTAAAGACAGGAAAGGTCGCACAGGCAAACGCCCATTTTCCACACAGAGCTAAACCGACCGGAAATAAGATCGGATGCAGTGGTTCACTTATAGCAAAATTCGCATCTCATGCGTTTCAAACTGTTCGATTTCGGGTAGGTGTGACACACCAACGCAGCCCGCTTGGATAGTCGTAAGGTACTAATGTATTACGTGGAACTAGTAGAAAGAGCAGGTCACTTCAAACACATAAGATTTCAACTTGACACAAAAGCCCTTCTCTGAACTAAAAATTTGTTGATAAATTACCGTCAATAACAAAATTTTGGATTAAAAGTAAGTCAGCAGTAAAACCCAGAAACAATGTTACTTTGGCAATAACAGTACAAAAAATTAGAGTTTTAGCAAGTTAGAGGACGTTTGAATGCGGATGTGTAGGGGACTCTAAAGGATTTCTTATGCGAAAGAAAACAAAACATTATCCAAAGGAACGAAAAAAGGTTGAGTTCGATAAAAAGTGTAAAGCAATACTCAAAATCATGATTCGGTGGCCGGTGTCCCTCTTTAGTACACGAAAGTAAGACGAATAAAACTAAGTATTGCTCTGTCTTGCAAACGGAAATGTAAAGCCTGTGCGCAAGATGAACATTAGATTAGAGAATTTTATTATTGTCGGTTAACATGCATCCTTTGTTTAAGGATAAACTCGGCCGAAATCTAGAGGAAATCGATATTAAAAATGTGTTGTTTTTAATCAAAAGAGACGATCCTGTAAATAATGGGCAGTCCTAAATCCATCTGTCTGACTGCATCCAATAACTGCTGAAACATTTACTGTAATAAGTTATCGAAACATTAAATAAATTACCATGTAAGAGCTACTATAAAATGTATCAGTAGCTATTATGATACCCAAAATTTCCGTTGGCTGTAAGAAAAAGGTTCACTTACCCAGCATTTGCGACCAGCCAATTCTTGTGGCAGAACCTTCCGGTTGGTCTGTTATCGTTGCCTCGAAGTACCAGTTGCCTGTATGCACACTGTGCGTGGCTCTCACCATGGAGTAACCCTTCTCGCCCGTAATTGTCAGCTGCGATTCATGAAGCTTAAGTTGATGTGCTAAAAGAGACGACGAGTTTATTATAGCCCAGGAGATAGTTTGATTATAAAAGAAGCGGTCTTCAGACTGTGGTATAATTATTGTGCTGTAAAAAACGCCTTATCCAAACGGTCAGTAGACAGTAACTTCTAGAATTTAGCAAACATTTATTTACTTGGACAATTGCAGCAAGACTAATTTTAATGAGTAAGTAGTGCAGTGCCAGTGCACTGCCAGTGCAGTGCCAGTGCACTGCCAGTGCAGTGCCAGTGGAGTCAACGAAGTAAACGACGCTTTTTTCTGCAGGTTTATGGTGAGCAGGCTTAAACTCAAGACTAAGTTATCCGTTCTAAAATTCCGCTTTAGTGTATGGTTCTGCATATGGTTTATTAATCATACCATGACAAAGACGTTAACTACTTACAAGTTAGCCTAGTTCAGTTCGTCAAGAGCACATGGATCTCGCATTTATGATCCAGGGTTAACTCTGTATAGTAATACTTTTTCGTCACCAAAGACTGGCTGTAATTAAGCAAAGGGTCAAATCAACAGGCTGTGAAGGTTTTCGCCATGGATGAAAAAACCAAACTTTTGAACAGGCATTTGACTGAAGTAAAGGCAGCAGATGACAGGATTAGAAAATCAATAATTCAAGTGAGACTGATAAAATATAAGAATGGCTGCATGCGAGCTGGTTTTTATTGCATTTGGGTTCCATGAGTGACATTAAATACTGGACTACAAGAAACGGTTTTTAAGACTTAAGCTGAATCTCGCTTACTCGAGTTTCTTCAGCCGTGCTCATCATTTAACTGCTAAGAAACGACAGTGCGGCTACAAAACTGACGCCTTCACCCAACAGAGCCAAACCCAGCTTAAAAGATTGGTATTGTATGGAAATCTAAGAACGTTAACTGTTACGTTTGACTAAAATAATCATAAAAAGACGCGAACTCACCGCGGTCATTGAGGGAGAGGACGACCTTAGGACAATGGCAAACGCGATAAAAGTATCCGGGAATGGGTTTGCCAGCAGTGTGCTCACTCTCGTCCCATAACTGACGACCACTCGCGTGGGGATCGGGCTCAACAAGGATGTACCTAGTACAGAGTTGGATGAAGTGCGCGTAAAAGTAAACTAGGTCCGTGTGGCCTACTCATGGGGTGAACAAAACGCAAGCATACAAAAATGGAATAGTTGCGAACTCACCGATATCCCTCCTTGTTGAACGGGT